CCTTACTCCCCCAAATTCCTGCCAAACGATTCTAAATTTCAACCCAATAGAACTTCATCCCCTATTATGCCACCCTAAATAGTGGAGGTATTTTTTCTGAATTTGTATGGGACCCCTGAAGTATAATTTAATTTAATTTAAAATAAAAATATGTATTTAAATTAGTTCACAATTGATTAAAATATTAAGTAATGTATGTTTAATGTACAAAAAACATTTGATGGAATAGTAAACCCCTCCTGTTCATGAAGTTTGCTAAAAAATTGTTAAAAAGAAGGACTCATTTTTTACAGATAAGTGCCAGTAATAGTTATTTATTACCTGTGTAAATCCTGAGATAATACAAGAAAATTTTAATTTCCAAAAACTAATGTAAAGCCAAATAATTTAATTACCACAACTTTGATTACTATGTGAAAGCAATGGAGTAAATTGTTAAAATAGGTGTCTTTTAGAAGGTTAAACATGCCATCATGCCAAAGCTAAGCTGAAAGATGGTATTCTACATAAACACCAAATTTATAATGACAATTTATACATTCATTGTTACATCATACAAAAACATGAAAGAAAAATGCTATTTGTATTTTGTCAAACTTGACTAATTGAACAGGTCATAACATTTTGAAGTCAGTAAGTTTTTATAAGTTCCGTAACTTTCATAAATTGTCAGTTGCAAGCAAATAGGCTTAAGCAACACTCTTTGTTAGTGTTGCCAATTTAGCATATTATATGCTAAATTTGACATATTTTCTTCTTGTTTAGCATATTTTTTTTTGCTTTTAGCATATAGCATATTATTTCAGCATATTCTTATAAAACATGAAAAGACTGTAAATTACAATCTTTCTTGAAATAAAATTTGATATCGATACCTACCTCAATCAATTTCCCACTTCACTACTAGTGATTCACTAGCATGGCAACCCTTTTTTGAAGCGAATATAATATTCTCTGTGCTACGGGATTCCCCTTAGACATAGAGAATGGACTGAGCCCTTATTCAGGTATAAAGTAAATATGGACGAAGTACAAGAGAGACAAAGCGAATGTGCCGCCAGTTATTGTCTCTTTCTACGCCTTACCTGCGCCTTGCAGAAAATACACATGTATTGGCCGCGTATTCACTTTGTCTCTTTCTAGAGAGTGGTCAGTTTTGTGAGGGTGATGTCTATGGGATAGAATTCCCTTACTATTATCCATTCCCCAGCGCCTACGTCGCTTTCTGTCAAAAACATTGTTTATTGTTGTGGATGTGGACTCACTCATATCGTCGTCTCGTCTTATCCGTGTTTTCGTGTTCCTTTTTTTATAATTTGATATTTTTATTATGGTACCTAAGTATAGTCAACATTACCGGGCAGACTGGGAGAAAATGGCAGACTTTAAAGAGTGGTTGCAGCCCGTTGAAAACGATACTTCGAAAGCGTACTGTAAGTATTGTAAATGCGAAATGATTGCAAAATTGTCTGTTTTGAGGCTACATATTTCATCAGCAAAGCACAGAAAAGCAATAGAGCCAATGAAGAGTCAAAAAAAAATTAACCCTTTCGCTCTGACAGCGCGCGACATGTTATACTCCCGTTCGCTCGGGACCGTAATGGCGGGAAAATTTGCAAATTAGCAAATTTTTTTGCTATATTGCAAATTTTGCTATATTTTCACTTTGAGACAATATTTATGGATAAAACTTACAGGATTTCTTGTTGAATGTATAAACTATCGAATAAAATTATTTTTGGTTGCTAGAAATTGTAATAAAATACATAAATTACCCTATATAGCATAGTAGTACCATATACTTCAATTTTAGTGACAAAATTACTACTAATTTGAATTCTAAACTTTGTTTTTTGGAGAAATTTATATGAAAATGTTTGGAAATATGTATATTTTTATGTTTTATATGTTTCCATTCGTTACTCATACCAAAATATTGAAATATAAAAAAAAACTATAATAATATTTTATCTGTGTGACATTTAGAACAATATTTCAAAAATAATTATGTGTGAATTTGAAATAAATACAACGTCAAGTTATTTGAAATATATAAGAAAACTATTTTTACTTACATTTTACACTAAAAATAAATGAGAATATGAAAAATAACGCATTTATGACCCAGCCGCCATAATGGGCCTTCCAGATTTTGAAGCACTTTTGGCAATTTACTTTTCACTTTTTATACCACAAATTATATATCTTCGTGTTCACTATATTACAAGAAATATAAAAAAGTATAATACTTTCGTTTTTAGTCCAGACACAATTATAAAATTCTATAAAAAAGATGGAGCACATTCATCAAAACGACACGTGGAACGCCGAAAGTTTAGAGTGATTTCTTTTTTTTTTTTCTAAGAAACATTGCCAGGTTATGGTTTAAAATAAAAGAGCATATCTTTGTCTTTGATACTATTATCTATTGCATATTGTCTTTGGTTTTGTTTTAAAGGAAAAAGTAGTTTTTTCATAAGGCAGTACTTCTGATATTATCTGATCTAATTAGCCCCGTACTAGAGCGGGCGTAAGGTAGGTATTGTATGATCTGATTAGATTGTTAGCCGAGCGAAAGGGTTAACTTCCCTAAAGTAAAAAAAGATCTGAATACCCAGAAAGCAGAATCTTCGCTGGCTTTGTTTGTTTACGAGCACTGTGCAATTATGGCTGTAGATCATTTATCAGAACTATGCAAATACCGATTTGTCGACAGCAAATACAGCGACATCAAGTTACATCGAACCAAATGCACGAATATTATTAAAAATGTTTTGGCACCACACTTCATTCAAGAAATTGTGACAGATTTAGGAGATCAGGAGTACAGTCTCTTAATCGATGAATCGACAGATATATTTGTACTTAAAATGCTTGGTGTTTCGATAAGATATTTCAGCCGATCATTAAAAAAAGATAATTTCCACATTCTTGGGATTAGTTGAGATTGAAGACGGAACTGCAGTCAGCATAGTGAACGGCATTAAAGGATTGTTGGCAGAAATAAAAATAAATTTAAAGAAATTGATCGGTATCGGCACGGATAACGCTTCGGTCATGACAGGAACTAACAGTGGAGTGCACGCATTGTTGAAAAATGCAACTGGTAATGACAATTTAGTGTTAGTCCGCTGCGTGTGTCATTCGTTACAGTTGGCTATGTCTCATGCTTCAGCAGAAACCCTACCAAGAAATGTTGAATTTCTTATAAGAGAAACCTATAACTGGTTTAGCCATTCATCAAACCGAAGACTCTTTTACAAAAACATGTTTCAAACGATCAACGGTGGCTCCGTTCCATTGACAATTCCACAGATGTGCAATACCCGATGGATATCAATTGAACCAGCGGTCTGCCGTATTCTTGATCAATGGATAGAATTAAAAACCCTGTTTGAAATTGCCAGGCGAGATGAACACTGCTATACGGCAGAAATACTATATAACATGTATAATGATCCACAGAATCATTTGTACTTATTATACATAAGACCTATCTTACAGGAAGTTCAAGTGGTAAACAAGTTGTTTGAAAGTAACGATGTTGACCCAACAAGATTGTACAATGATTTGATTGGCTTAGTGGAATCGATAGGTCGGCGTATTCTGAACCCAACGGCAAGGGTAGATATTTTAACAGAAGACATAGAAAGCTATTTAGATCCGAAACCATACATGGGATATGCTTTTGAGACCAAATTACTTGAATACAATCTTCAGCCTAATGCAGCAAACTATTTACGCCAACGTTGTAATAATTTCACACTGAAACTTGTGACAGAACTACGTTCGAGATTACCGGTTAATTTTAAAATACTTCAGAAGATATCCATGTTTTCAGTTCAAGAGACTTTAAAAGTAGTTAAGCCATCCATTGTCGAAATAGCCCAAGAGTTCCGAGTTAATGCACCTATGATTGAAAAACTGGTATCTCAATGGAGAAATATAGTTCACATTAAATGGGAATCCTTGACTTCCACAGTAAAGTTCTGGAATGAAGTCATGCAATATAAAGATGCAGCTGATAATAACCCCTTTGCAGAGTTATGTGAGTTTGCAATGTCTCTTATATCATTGCCACATTCAAATGCGGACGTTGAACGTGTATTCAGCCAAATGAGTCTGGTAAAAACAAAACTCCGAAACCGTTTGGCGGTGAGAACCCTGAATGCCATTTTGTACGTTAGGTTCGGCCTAAAAAGAGCAGGAAAGTGCTGTTACTCTTACACTGTTCCAGACAATGTACTACGCAGTATCGGAACCAAAGAGTATTACGACTCCGGCTCTCAGCCTTCCACATCAGCTGATGTTGATGAAGATGAAGACCTTAATATTCTATTCCCTTGATTTAATTTCTCAATAAATACTGATACTTCTTAATTATGTTGGCATTTTTTTTGGCATTTTTTAGAGAAGGTAAGCATATTTTTGGCATATTTTTTACACCAGTCTAGCATATTTTGAAGTAGTTGAGTTGGCAACGCTACTCTTTGTTTTAGATGCAGACTTAACAACAACATATTAAGTGACATCTTATGTATTTGTGTAATTAAAGCAAAATATATAAAGGTCATTGTAAATAAAAAGTTGTGAGGATAAAAAAGTTAAGTAATTGCATATGAACTTACTTTAAATGACGCCTAAACTATTCAACATTTGTGTGTGTGTCAAGTTGTCATAGTAGTTTCAAATCATATGGTGAATATAAGAAGTAGAAATATGATAAACTAAGCACCAGAGTTAGCAGTTTCAGTGAAAGTTGAATTAAACTGGACAAAGTTTTGATCGAAAATGCTTAATGGGACTAGCCGCTATGGAGTTGATGTAGTAATATTTGCTAAAATTGTACATTGTAAGTATGCCAATATTGTCCATGGTGTCGCTCATAACATTTTGCCTTCGACGACATTAAAACAATGTGGGTAAATATCTACTGTCTGCATTGTACTCCATTTTGTACAATTGCACACTGACTTCAAATAAAAACTTCTAGTACTTACTTAGGAGCGCGTTTCACTAGCTCAGCCCGGGCGATATGCTTTGATAAGATCAACTTCATCCCTCTTCGCTTGTCTTCGCAACCTAAAATTAAAAGTTCAACGGAATTCGTAAAAGAATTAAAATAACCGAAACACGCCGTTATTAAAATCTAAGCAATGTAATGATACCAAGTTACGCGATTATCATCACCCAAGAATACGATGAATTTAGACAAAATGGCGTCTACCGGCCATGCAGCGGTACTCAAATATTCCAAGATACCTAGATAAAAGCGTAGTGATATAGTATTTTACATGTTTTAGTAGTACAGTATTACAACTATATAAAGTATCCCATTTAACCCCAGAAATGAATTCGGTAGCACGGCAAAGATTTAAAGGCAGTGCTTTCAGTTTATACAAAGGTACTCTGTGGGCAGTGCGGTATGTTTGTTGTTAATGTTCCTAGGCTTGGATTATTAATAGGTCTTCGCGCGCCAAGGCTTATTATATTGTACTATATAAAGCATACCTACAACATATTGATTATGTAGTAAAACTTACCACATTTGAAGTAATCGACGAACATGAACTTTTTCAAATTCCGTATATTTTCATCAGCTTTACTAGCGGGATTGCACAACAGCTTTCTGAATAACAAAAATTTAAAATTCCGAAACCTAGGGCTTCGGGCAGCTACGAGCAACTAGCCTGACGGGCAAAGAGATTAAATAAATACTTATAAATAATATTTAGTAAATGTTGATAACTGAAACTGTCCCATTCTGAACAGGAAGACCATAGAGGAAAGTAATATATCGTACGTGAGGAAGACATAAGACAAAGACAGGAACCAAAGACTACAATATATAATAACATAGCAGCGTTGCCAACACCAATTTGTCAAATTCCCCGAAAATCCAAGTCAAACTCCCCAGTTAGGGGACAAAAAATCAATACACAAATTCCCCCCAAATTATATTTTCAAAAATGAAACAACTTTCAACTAACTTTAAATTTTTTTTTAACTTAAGTTCACTTTCTTATTACCGAATTTTTCTTTCACACTTTTTCCATAATTTGTAACAAATATTTTACTTCATAAATATTTTTAATCCCTTCTTCTGTGGTCATTAAAAAGTACCACAATATTTTCATTTATTATATGAATACGGTTCTCTGCTTTAAAATTAAAAAATAAAGAAATTTTACATTTGATTATACACAGATGTTACCGGAATAAATCCGAACGTTAATTGTGGTGCAATGAAGATATTTAAAAAAGGGAGTCATTCGAAAACCATAAGTAACCTAACAAAAATGGTAACTTAGGTATTTATATTTCTTGAAAAGGGATTCTGACTTGACCCCGCATAGTACCTATCGCCAATCATAGATTTAGTATAAACTCTATAGATTGGCAACTTCAACCAACAAACGAGACTAAAAACTGATTGTCTTTGTGTGTGCAGATTGTCAATGTGTGCATTAATATTGTTGTACCCATAGACAGAGAAACCTATAGACAAATTGACGCCTTCTTTCGCATTAGCACACGAAAAAGATAGCTTTATGCGTACGTCTTGCATAGAAGTACGTGTGAGTAGTGTGATTGTTTGTCCCTTTCTCCGTGCCGGTTTTTTTTGCTTAGCAAACTACACTTTGCTAAACAACTTTGACTGTTCGTAGCGATCTAAGGAGTTTACAAGTTGCTATAAGTGAGAAAAAAGTGTTTTGTGAGCTTAAGATTGATGAATCTTGTTCAGTTCAGTTCTTAAAACAATTAAAAATGTTATCTAAATATGTTTAAAATCATAAAGATTATTGTATAACCTAAAACTACGTTATCGTCCTTTCTCGTTCGAGGCCACGCTAATCATTAGTCTATAGGTTTCTCTGTCTACGGTTGTACCATAATAATTAATCAATATCGATCAAAATGAACGTTTAATAAAATGTGACAATATAAAAGATACTGTACCTATTTCATATAATATCCTTTCCTATTTTATGTATGTTTTCAGATTAGAAATGTACAGGATTTCTAGAAAATATATTAATCCGTATTTGTTGTACAGATACATATTTTTAGTTGAATATTATCACGGCCTATTCATATTCCACTTCACACACTTCTGGTACGCCTATACGCCTATCTTACTTTAAGCCAGACGGGTTGATGAGGCATAGGGATTCGAGTTGAGAATGTAAAACTGCAATACAATCTCTAAAAACTTATGTATGTTTTTCGAAACTTTTGCAAACCTTTAATTATATTGCAAAACAATATTTTTTTTTCTTGTATTCATGGTAAAAAAAATCACGTAATTATAATAATATATTTTGAAGTTGCAGAGACTTTGTATTATAGACATATACCATATATGTTTAATTAATTTAGATTCTATACTTTTTTGAGCATGTATATATTTTCAACTTTTTTCTTATCTGTTATTCTTCTCTTTCATTTGAATATTATTATTCACATTTCCCTCTTTCTTGGTGCCATACTACTGATATTTAAATGATCTATGTGGAAGATGCAGTTCAACCTGGAATTCCACGGAATACCAGCATAAAATATTAGATTAATGCTGCTGTTTCGTATGGTGAATGTAGAGATCCGCAGACCTTTTTACTGATCATTTTGATTCTTAATCGAGGGAAGGTGTAGATGTTTATGGGCCACAGCAACCACTTACCATCAGGTGGACTGTGTGCTCGTTTGTCACCCTATTTTATAAAAAAACTAGTACTTAAGGGATCATAGCACGTGTGAAGTTTAATTTGGAAATTAATATTAGCCTGAGTTCGAATATAATTTGTAAAACATATACATATAACTAGTTTTCAAAGCATTTAATGTACGTTAGTATTACCACTAACATACTTTAAATGCTTTGAAAATACAGCCAGCGATCTTAACAAGGCCTTCTTCAGCAGATCTACGAACAGAATCCCAGGAGTCACCAATAAACATTGCTGCAGTATTATCTGCATAGGCGACTATGTTGCCCTCGATAATGTCCATTTTGGTTAGATTATTAACAAAGTTAGAATACGAATAATAAGTTAAAAACAACTCCGAATGTTATATCTGATTTATCGCTTAAGTATTCTGCTTGGGATCCTTAGGGTAATCTTTAAATAAATCTAAGTGATTATACCTTTACCCCTTATACCTTTTCTTTTAATTTATTTATCGAAAGTATTCTTACATATTTGCTTGATTTGTACCATTAAACAAATTATGGTTTGTATTGGTCACATTCGCAACTAACGCACTGCTTTACATAAATATTTAATCAATTTGTTAAAAGTAAAAAAAATACATTTAAATATACCTTCCTCATTGTGTAAGTAAGGACCCATTTGCAATTCTCACATGGGACAATTGGGAATTAGCGCAACCGATGTGAGCGCTTATTGCTTTCGTAACTTAATTATATACAGGCTGTTTCACTATTATACAAACTAAATTATAACTATGATTCTGATTGATTTTATAAGACGAAGTTCTTTGTGATCGTAATAATATTTTTTGAGTTTTTGTTTATAGTTCTTTTGTGTTTAATTCTTTTTGAATGTTTTGCGGGATGTTGTTTATAAGAGTTGGGATTCAAAATTCAATTTTTCGCCTACCATAGTAATTTGAGATCCTAGGCACAATCAGTTTTTGTTTGGTAATATTTCTAGTAATTAATTTGTGGGATACGGGCACTCGGATGTTTTTACTATTGAATTGTTCAAAGGTCATATGAAGTTACATCTGCATAGGTAAAATAATACAGTATTTGAAAATGTCTACTAAGTTTTCTTTGTATTGTTGTATTATTTTTTGGGGTACAATAAGTTTAAGTAATCTAAGCTGTAGTTTATTTTTTTTTCATTAAATGACTTAAAGACTCGTCTATAACTTGAGATTCCGTATGATATAATTGACTCAGCTAAGGCTTTATATATATTCAGTAGGATTTTATACGGTACTTTAGGTTTTAAAATATATAATTTAGCCAATATAGCTCGTAACTTCTCACAGGGAGATTCTATGTGAAATCTCCAATTAAATCTCTTGTCTACAATTAGTCCTAAGTAAGTGTGATGCGTTACTTGTTCTATAGCCTCACACTTACAAGCGTTAGATGAAGTTGATTTGTGCAGACATCTGTGACTGTGAGCAACGATCTTAAAATACGTGTTGTGTTTTAGATGGCTTCAGTGGACGTGAATAATTTTGGTTTTAGTTGCATTCAAGACAAGTCTCGCACCATGTGTCTATTTGGGTACCTGTGTAAAATCTTGCTGCCGCCATTGAGCTGCTTCTTTTAGATCTTTACTAGTAGCCAAAAGGCACGTATCATCGGCGTATTGATAAACGGAACAATTGTTGACAACATGCTCCATATCATTGACATATGCTAAATAGTGCAAGGGTCCAAGCACCGACTCTTGAGCTGTTCCTTCAGTAACATAGATAGCGTCACTGACTTCAACATAAATTTTAACTTTCGATTATTGAGGTAATCTTTAGACTAATCTAAAATTGGGCCGCTAAAAAATATAAAATTACACCGGTATTCTTCAGTATACAGGTTTGTTAAGAGCATATCGTGTCGAAGCGTATCAAACGCTTTGCTTGAAGTCTATGAATAATAGAATTACGTGGTTTCTGTCATCTAGAAATTTGTTTACATCATCTGTAAATTTTCATAGAAGTTTAGAGGTAGATATTGCCGTGTAGTGGCGGTTGAGAATATCCACTACCCCATATCTTCCCGTAGGTGTCATAAGAGGCGACAGAGGGAAACAGGCAGCAGCATCTTCCTAATAACAACAATAACATAATAAAAAACTGCGGTTGCCAACCCGCTCGCCAAGCGTGGCAACTATCCCCCATGAGAAACGACGCAAACAAAAGGCTCCCAGTCCCCGGCGGCCCCGCTATTCCTGGCTACGGTGGCGACCATGGTAACGGCGGGGCAGAGGGTGCTAAGAATCTCAGGTGGAGGTTCGGTTGCCACCTACGCCGACTCCACCTGGCAATATATAATGCACGCACCCTGAGGACTGACGAGAAGATACTGGAGTTGGAAGAAGAGGTAGGCAAGTTGCGCTGGCATATTATTGGATTATCCGAGGTCCGAAGAGAGGGGAGGACACGGTAATCCTCGAGTCCGGCAACTTGTTCTATCATCGGGAGGGCGACCATCTGTCCCAAGGAGGTGTCCGATTTATCGTCCACAAGTCTCTCGTCAACAACGTTGTAAAGATCGGGAGTGTGTCGACGAGGGTCGCGTATCTGATACTCAGAATCACCAAACGGTATTCGCTGAAAGTCATACAAGTTTACGCAACAACCTCGGCACATCCCGATGAGGAGGTGGAGGAAATGTATGAGGATATTTCTAGAGCCATGCATTCCTCCAAAACCCACTACATGTTGTTGATAGGAGACTTTAACGCAAAATTAGGCACAAGAGAAAGCAGTGAGCTGAAGTTAGGGAAATTGAGAGTAGGGCAACGGAACCGTAGGGGCCAGCAGCTGGCCGACTTTATGGAGAAAGAGGGACTTTTTGTGATGAACTCTTTCTTCCAGAAGCGGCCCCACAGGAAGTGGACCTGGTCGAACCCCGCCGGTTCGACAAAACAT